GATCCCCCCAGGATGTAACCCTTTAACAGTTGCCCAGCTCCCAGGTACCTGTTTATTGCTGGCTCAGCAGAGGCATCAGGTGAAAGGAAACGTGCCCAACCGTTTCTGTCCGGCATGAGGATTGAACCTGGGTCCCTTGATGGTGACCAGGAGGCTTGCCCAAAATACTATGCATGTTAGTGGCTTTGGCAAAAATGAACCACTTAAAAACTTCTTTCCATTCTGAAAACTCGTCTCAAAGTATGACCCTCTGTTTTATGTAGTCTAAATTCATATTCAATTCTATACACTTAAATAGGCCTATGGTACTTAAATTTAGTTATATTATGATGAGTCATTCTCAAGATAGTGTATGAAAGAAAAATAAACAAGCCATAAGATGTCCCATCCCTATCAGTGGTATCTAATAAATTATCTGTAAACATGTTAGCATGATACGATGACCCTGTCTGCAGGCCATAATGCTCTATAAGGCTGATACTGAAACTACTGTATGACATTTGTTAATGCTGCTTACTGGAAGCTCCCATATGGGCTAATATGGATGAAGTGCTATACTAGGCAAAGTTCAGGTCTGAAGCCCACCTTACTTTGCGGTTACCTCGAGTCGATTTCGAGGATCGACGTCCCTGCAGCCCGGTCTCTGTCAGCTATAACTATTCACTATTCCAAACTAGAACAGATAGACATGCATTTAAATATAACAACTTCTTCTGTCATGAAATTTTAGAATGTAAATGTATAGATTCCTTTAATAAATTGATCAAGACTTTGCAGCAACTATCGTATATGCCCAGCATAGTCTGAATGCTCTTAACAGGTGCTGCATATGGCGGCACTTCAATAATCATTTTCAGAGTGATACAAGAGCTTAAAGTTATCACTAAAAGGAGTTGCTTGGCTACTTTGGTGACTAACCCAGTAAATTTCTCCCCAGATTGGTTGCCAGCACAAGCTTGGGTCATGATAACATAAACCCATCATTATAATGAGCATGTGAGAAAATACTCACACCAACCTATCTGTGTCTTGCAGGTGCCATCAAGTTGCTTTGCAATTTGTTCTCTTTCCTCGCTATTAATTATCACAAGTCGAGCTTGGCCTCAGGCCGGGTTCGGGATGTAGAAGAACTCTCAGAACCCTCTCCAGGTATTGTATTTTGTTGATACACTAGAAAACTAGTGTACCACTGCTGTTATCTTGAGATGATTTCGGGGCTTTAGTGTCCCCGCGGCCCGGTCCTCGACCAGGCCTCCACCCCCAGGAAGCAGCCCGTGACAGCTGACTAACACCCAGGTACCTATTTTACTGCTAGGTAACAGGGGCATAGGGTGAAAGAAACTCTGCTCATTGTTTCTCGCCGGCGCCCGGGATTGAACCTGGGACCACAGGATCACAAGTCCAGCATGCTGTCCACTCGGCCGACCGGCTCCCTGTATTGCTCCTCCCTCCCAGACTCATATGTTATAGCAGAATCAACACAAATATATAAAATAATTAGGAGCAAAATATTTGTATTTCATAAAACAGAACTTTATGAAGATGTCTTTTAAATCTACCAATTTTATTGGCAGAATAACAGTAATATATAATTAAAATATTGTTTCCAGGAACTTAAAATTATTGGTGGACATTCCTAAACATTTATACCCACAAACATAAATGTCCTTATTAGGGTAAAGTTACTGGTCCTTGATAATTTTACTAAACAATATTTACCGAAATAAAAAGTACTTTTAATAAAATTTTAAATTAGTCCATGGTATGAGTTGAAAGATATAAAGTTTAATTTATATTTATAAAAAAAAAAAAAAATTGAGTTGAATATGTAAAACATAATGAGACACAGTACAGTGTGTTCCTGATTATCCGGCCTGATCGATACTTCTAGATACAGTACAGGTACTCGGAAAACTGATACTCAAATAATTTACTAAAACATCATACGAAGCAATTTCTCAGCAATTGCATTTTATTAAAAAATAATGTACAGCAATTGTATTTTTATCAGAAATAATACACAATCCTTTTGGCATGTATTTAACCCACTTGTGCTGTATTAAAAATACCTGTAATGGTATTTTAAAAAGAATGCACCAGTATCCTGTACTGTATACAGTATGTGGGAAACAATAATTGTTTCTGTTATTTGGTTCAAATTAGTGCCTGCTGCTGCCTAGTCGTGGAGTGACTTCTCAATTAATCAAGGCAAACTTCAGCATACTGGACATGAGCTCATATGTTCTTTATTTATTTATTATTTTATTTATTTATATATATACAAGAAGGTTATCTTGAGTTGATTTCGGGGCTTTAGTGTCCCCGCGGCCCGGTCCTTGACCAGGCCTCCACCCCCAGGAAGCAGCCCGTAACAGCTGACTAACACCCAGGTACCTATTTACTGCTAGGTAACAGGGGCATTCAGGGTGAAAGAAACTTTGCCCGAATTTACAGTATTTACATTCTTGTAAAGCCACTAGTACGCGCAGCGTTTCGGGCAAGTCAAAATATGTTGATGTTAGGAACTGGAATGTTGGTTAACCCGAGAATCCGGGTAACGGAGACCCAGATAATCAGGGACTTACTGCAGTAGCAAAATCCACAGTACAGTAGTAGTTCTAAATACTGTATATATATTTAGGACTACTGTCCTATATAGGGACAGGTTAAAGCCTTGCTGCCCTAATAGAGAAGGACCAGAATTAATCTGATTAATATGCACAAAACACAGAGGGGAATAGACAGAATAGACAAGTACAGTACACGTACTGCCTTCTCATTTTCAGTGTAATTTTGTGTAAAGAGAACAAGAAGACTTGGGAAGAAGCAGGATAGACAACTGAGCCAAAGAAAAGAACACTCATACACAGTGAGGAGGGGGAGGGGTGAAGAGGAATCCATTGAAAGAAGTTATACGTTGAAGCCACATCTATCCACCACCTCAAGAACATATATGGCACACACGTAATTCAAGTGCACCACATACAAACAGCTAGGAAGCATGGTCTAAACGACTAGATCTCCCTCTCAATGGACACTGATATATAGCCTAGGCATACACAATACTGCTGGCCATATAATTTTATCCTTAACAAAGCTTACTATTTAAATAAAATAATCCATTACATTTTGATTACTATAACAAAATCAAACTATGCTTGAAGAATGTTTTAAAGTTTTTTGATAACAAGTCAATAAAGAGTACTATTCAGATAACATGTCAACATATTGTACTATACAGATAATATGTCAATATACAGTACTATAAAGATACCATGTCAATATACAGGACTACTGTATAGATACCATGTCAATATACAGGACTATACAGATACCATGTCAATATACAAGACTATATGGATGCCATGTCAATATACAGGACTATACAGATACCATGTCAATATACAAGACTATATGGATGCCATGTCAATATACAGGACTACTGTATACAGATAACATGTCAATATATACAGGACTACTGAATACAGATAACATGTCAATATACAGGACTATTGTATACAGATAACATGCTTTAATATATAATGTACATCATATGTAAGAATTCCATAGTATCATTTTCTTTAAACAATAGCTTACAATACTGCCTTGTTAAGTATATACTGTATTAGTAGCCTAATAACTTTACAATATAAAAGTTTCTCTGCCTAAAGTTTTAAAACCCGAGATATTTTGGAATGGGAAAATACAGCTGAGGTGCAGTTTTAGTTGTCTGGCATAAAAATCACCTAATATAGAGAGCTAAAAATGTAAGACAGCTAATAATGTTATATTTTAATCTAATCATATTTTATTATATATTAACCTAAAGGAGCCAGGACAAATATTAAAATAAACTTTCTAAACTATGGTACTCGAGGTGTTATTTAATTTTGTTAAGATACCAATATTTTGCTTTGAGCTCATTCAAGAAGGCACCAACCAGTAACCAAATATAGATGTAAATTGTCTGGAAAACATTAACAAATAAATGTCAAAGTTAATCCCCAGCACCAGAAATCTTCTTTGTGAAGAAGATTAAGAGTGATATATTGAAATTACCGCAATCTTAAGAGTCAACTTAGTCGCAAGAATTTCACATTTAGGTTTAAGAGGATTGACACTGAATACAGGTAAGTATTGTATTAAGAAGATAGTAGTCATTAATGCATAGAACAGAGTGTAATGCAGTATCATTAAATACTTCAGCATTGATAGCTTAAACAAGTAAAGACAACTGGGTATAAACACGTGTAGGACCTGTCTCGTATGAGCCAGTACGCAACTGCTGTGTCTTTCAATTATGAGGAAAAATTTAAATGTTAAAAGACATATTATCAAGTTGTATCATTCCCTACTAATAACACATGACCTAGCTTTATGGTAATCTAACACTGACACAAGTATAAAGGGTTTTGACTTTCAAATTCCAAAACTAATGAAGCACCTTAACCAAAACTTTTCCTTATACTTAATGTCAGCTAATCTACATTATCTACCACAGCAAACTTGAAATGAGAACTGATTATGACAGTGGTTCCCAGTGTAGTATAAGACTGTTTAATAACATAAAGTACTAACCCACTTAACTACCTTTGCTGAACCCTACTCCCTCTAGCCTAGCCAAGATAATCACACGACAATAATAACTTATCGAAAATAAGAATAACCAGTAAGCATTGACAGTCAATCGTATATTTTGGTGTTTATTTTTATGCAACACGAAAAAATGATTTGATTTGATAATAAAATCCCACAGTAAAGTATAAAGTATCTTCCGGCATTGGGATTATGCCCTTTGTGTACGCGCTGTGACCTCTATCATCAAGCATTACGATTCACTACGCACATAGCATGCACAGATCATTTCTACTAGCACCGGTAATCATTTTTAATTACTTCACATAATCGAGGACAAAGAAATGGTGTTAAAGAAGTGTCTGAGGAGAGGGGCCGCCAGACCCCCCCGTCCCCTCACAACACAACTCACACCTTAGCCTTACCATCCGACAGGTTCCCCGACAACCCCACATCTTCTATCGACTGTAATGTCTCCCTCTGTAATCTTCTCAAGTGTCTAGAATTCTTATTGAACTTTTGAAACTCCACCGAGAGTCCCTCAGCCATCCTCACTGTTTGTTTACATCTGCCTGACTGAGGGCCTCGTGCCCCCCGGCCAGGCGGGGAGCCGTAGAGAACGCGTTCTCACCTTCTTCAACACTAACTTATATAAATTATATAATAAATAAATTCTTATTCAGGTAAGGTACATACATACAAGGTAAGATACAAAAGTTGATGGATTTATAGATAGAACTAGTACATACAATGCCTAAAGCCACTATTACGCAAAGCGTTTCGGGCAGATTGGGATCTGCCAATATTTGCCAGTGTAAAGGAGGAAATGTATATGTTTATCTCTCTCTCAGAATGTTCGGTAATACGTTTATTGCTTGTGATGTGTGTATGTGTCTATGTATGTATTAACACGATGTACTGAACGGGGGTGAGAATAGCTTGAGCTACCTCATCCCTTTGTGTGTATTTTACCTCAATAAACTTATTTCAATTTCAAATATTTGCCACACTCGGTCATAAAATAAAAAAATAAAATATAATACAATGTTTATTCAGGTAAATGGTTATATACAAGATGAGTTGTAAAACAGAATGTTGGATTTCTAGATGAAGCTAGTACATATTATGTCTAAAGCCACTAATAAAATAAAAAATAAATAAAATACAATGTTTATTCAGGTAAAAGTACATACAAGAATGTAAGAACTCTTGTATATATATAAAAAAAAAAAATACATACAAGATGAGTTGTAAACAGAATGTTGGATTTCTAGATGAAGCTAATACATACTATGCCTAAAGCCACTAATACGCACAGCGTTTCGGGCAAAGCTTATTCTCAGGGAGCGTTGGATATGGTTTCCAAGTTTTTTTATTTATTTATATATATACAAGAAGGTATATTGGGTTTATGTGAGTACATAGCATGGTGCGTTTACATTCTTGTAAAGCCACTATTACGCATAGCGTGTCGGGCAGTGTTGAAGAGAATAAGCCTGTTAGATTTATCGATATCTTCAAGACCAAGTCCTGATGTTTCCTAGGATGCAACCTATGACAGTTGCCTAACTCGAGGGGGGGGGGGGTACCTATGTACTGTTTGAAGAACCAAGGCATCAGTTGGATAAGAAACTTGCCCAAACGTGGCAAGACTTCTTTGTGGGAGTCTTGCCACAGGCAAGACCAACCTGTGGCAAGACTCCAGTCTTGCCACAACAATTGATCCCTGGATCTTTCTGTTGTGACTCATTTTGGATACAGAGTAATGAGGAGCTGTGGTATTAGAACACAGGGCACAATTTCTTGCCCGAAACGCTCTGCGTATTAGTGGCTTTAGGCAGACTCAATCGACTTGATAATGGTCCAGGACGGACCAAAACGTCGTCGTCTCTTCAATTTCTAGTGCGTGGCTTGGTCAACATAGTATATACTTGCTCTAGGCAGAAATCCAACATTCTCTTTGTAACTCATTTTGTATGTATGTACTTTTACCTGAATACAAATGATTATTTTTTTATCATTGCTGTTATTTATGACTGCCTTGCCCTTACTATGTCCGTTAGGCTATCATAAATTATACAAGTAACAGAGCGGCATCACAGAGTCCTTCATGCAACATGGACAAACCTTAGGTTTGGTTAGGTTAGGTTAGGTTAGGTTTGGTAACCGACGCAAACAGTATATACACTGCAAGGTATACACTGCTTCTCGATGTATATATATATATATTGTGTTCGCTTTACTTCTGCATTATGTTTTAAATTAAACTATACCTGCAGCTTGATCAAAAACCCTCCCGCAGTAAGTCGACCTTAAGTCCAAAAGCAAACGAAGGGTCTATATTTCAGACGACGATTACAAAAATAAGCTGCACATTTGTAATATGGCAAGTTTTAAACAACGGAGTGGAATAAGCTGGGTGATTAGTTTATTTTCTGTCACAAAAGAGGTCATTCACTTCCTAACCATAATATATAGGCTACAGTTTCATATGGACAGGGTTAAAGATAGCATTTTGTGGTGTGGGGATTAGCTTGATCCCCTAACACGCCCAGGTTCGAATCCTGGGCCAGGTGGGGGCGATTGGGCATCATTCTTTCACTGTCCCTCCTTGTGCACCCAGCAGCTATTTGGGACAAGGTTGTAAAGTGGTTTGTGGATCACGTTCTATCAAACTGCTTTAACTGAGATGTGTTGAAGCTTTACTCCGGCCAACAAGCAAATTTATTATGAGACCAAACTTCGTGTGTAATTAGCTAAGTAATTACCTAAGTGTAGTTACAGGACGAGAGTTATGCTCGTGGTGTTCCGTCTTCCCAGTACTCTTTGTCGTATACCGCTCTGAAATTACTGACGATTGTATTTACTATTTGTGTCTGCAGACTTGAGCTATTAGCTCTTGGACCCCGCCTTCCTATTATTCCTCTATTATATCTACTACATATATTTCTCTCTAACACACACACACACACAGATAAATGGGTAGGTAGATATGGATAAACTGTTTAACACGGGTGGTACGCGAACAAGGGGACACAGGTGGAAACTGAGAACCTAAATGAACCACAGGGACGTTAGAAAGAACTTTTTCAGTGTCAGAGTAGTTAACAGATGGAATGCATTAGACAGTGATGTGGTGGAGGCTGACTCCATACATAGTTTCAAATGTAAATATGATAGAGCCCAGTAGGCTCAGGAATCTGTACATCAGTTGATTGACAGTTGAGAGGAGGGATCAAATAGCCAAAGCTCAACCCCCGCAAGCACAAATACGTGAGTACACACCCACACATACACACACATCCTCAGGAAGCAGCCCGTAACAACTGTCTAACTCCCAGGTACCTATTTACTGCTAGGTGGACAGGGGCATCAGGGTAAATGAAACTCTTCCCCAAAAAAGAAACAAAATTTTTTTCCTCTTTGGCCGGGAATCGAACCTGGGACTACAACTCCCGAGTACTATATACTCAGCTGAGCGCGCGCGCGTGTGTGTGTGTACTCACCTAGTTGTGCTTCCGAGGGTTGAGCTTCGGCTCTTTGGTCCTGCCTCTCAACTATCAATCAACTGGTGTACAGGTTCTTGAGCCTAATTGGGCTCTATCATATCTACACTTGAAACTGTATATGGAGTCTGCCTCTATCACATCACTTCCTAATGCATACCATTTGTTAACTACTCTGACACTAAAAAAAAATCTTTCTAATGTCTCTGTGGCTCATTTGGGCACTAAATTTCCATCTGTGTCCCCTAGTGATTGTGCCTCTTGTGTTAAATTAACTGTTTTTGTCTACCCTATCAATTCCTTTGAGAATCTTGTATGTGGTGACCATGTCCCCCGTAACTCTCGTCTTCCAGCGATGAGAGGTTTAATTCCTGTTGTTTCTCTTTATAGTTCGTACCCCTCAGTTCGGACACTAGTCTGGTGGCAAACCTCTGAACCTTCTCCAATTTAGTTTTATGCTTGACGAGATGTGGACTCCATGCTGGAGCTGCATACTCCAGGATTGGTCTGACATATGTAGTATACAAGGTTCTGAATGATTCCTTACACAAGTTTCTAAAGGCCGTTCTTATGTTGGCCAGCCTGGCATATGCCGCTGATATTATCCTCTTGATGTGGGCTTCGGAGGACATGTCTGGCGTGATATCAACCCCCAGGTCTTTCTCTCTCTCTGATTCTTGAAGAAGTTCATTTCCCAAATGATACCTTGTATCTGGCCTCCTGCTCCCTACACCTATCTTCATTACATTACATTTGCTCGGGTTAAACTCTAACAACGATTTGTTGGACCATTCATTCAATTTGTCCAGGTCATCTTGAAGCCTCAAGCAGTCCTTTCCCGTCTTAATACTTCTCATAATTTTGGCATCGTCAGCAAAGATTGAGAGGAATAAGTCTATACCCTCTGGAAGATCATTTACATATATCAGAAACAGGATAGGTCCGAATACAGAGCCCTGTGTGACTCCACTGGTGACTTCACGCCAATATGAGATCTCACCCCTCACTGTAACTCTGTGTGTGTGTGTGTATGTGTGTACTCACCTATTTGTGCGAGTACACACACACACGCGCGCGCGCTCGGCTGAGTATATAGCGCTCGGGAGTTGTAGTCCCAGTTTCGATTCCCGGCCAAAGAGGAAAAAAATTTTGTTTCTTTTTTTTGGGCAGAGTTTCATTTACCCTGATGCCCCTGTCCACCTAGCAGTAAATAGGTACCTGGGAGTTAGACAGTTGTTACGGGCTGCTTCCTGAGGGTGTGTGTGTGTGTGTGTGTACTCACCTATTTGTGCTTGCGGGGGTTGAGCTTTGGCTCTTTGGTCCCGCCTCTCAACTGTCAATGAACTGGTGTACAAATTCCTGAGCCTACTGGGTGTGTGTGTGTGTTTGCACAAATTTAGATCCTCATCTCTATCACTTGAGATGTCCCGCTCGAAGGCTCCTCGAGCAATATCCCACCAGCAATACTCCCCCCCCCCTTACCCCCCTTATCCTTCTCCCTCGGCCAGATAAGCACATCAGAAATCCCATTAAAGGGCAAATTTTTATATGAAAAAAGATGACGGTCTTCCTAGTCGATTGGAGAAGTACGGGAAGAAGAAGAGGGCTACATGATGAAGAGTGAAGAGAAGAGGGAGGATACATGGTGGAGAGTCAGCAGGGGGGGGGGACAAATATAGGAACTAAGGAGGAAGAATACATGGATGAGTCAGGAGGGATACAGGATTTAGGTGGAGAAGAAGTATATACGACAGTGAGGGATAACAAGGATATATGCACCATAGAGTGAGGGATAACAAGGATAAATACACCATAGAGGGATAACAAGGATATATACACCATAGAGTGAGGGATAACAAGGATATATACCCCATAGAGTGAGGGATAACAAGGATATATACACCATAGAGAAAGGGATAACAAGGATATATGCACCATAGAGTGAGGGATAACAAGGATATATACCACCATAGAGTGAGGGATAACAAGGATATATACCACCATAGAGTGAGGGATAACAAGGATATATACCACCATAGAGTGAGGGATAACAAGGATATATACCACCATAGAGTGAGGGATAACAAGGATATATGCACCATAGAGTGAGGGATAACAAGGATATATACCCCATAGAGTGAGGGATAACAAGGATATATGCACCATAGAGTTAACACAGAGGAAGACAATGTATGTGTTGTGAGAACGTAAACATGTGTAAAAATTCACTAGAAACATTGGACTCAGTAAACAAAACATTGAATACATCTTGAACTGTAGCGATTAACTGTGACTTCTGAGACTACCGAGTAAAGGAAAAGCTGTGACAGTCAGGTGTGACGGGAGTAGTCACATATAGTAACACGGTCACACAATAACAGTTACTGTGACTGGCAGCCAACTTGTGATCAGTCAGTGATCACAAACACATCACTTCGTTGTGATATTGATCAATGATCAGTCGTCATATATATATATATATATTATATGACAGTGTCAGACCACGAAGGAAGAATTGAAATTGACTGGGAAATGGCTTCTTCAGTAACGAATTGTAAAAGCAATTTCAATAGGAACATAATTGAATCTGCTTTAATACAGATTACAAAATAATGTAATTTGAACGTTAGCAATGGTTTATATAATTTAGATCCATTCTTGATTGATCAGTTAAAGGGAGATTTGAGTAGGATCATTGGTACACATATGTCTCACTAATTCATTGTTAATATCCACTATCTTATGCTATTATTATCCACGTATGGGCCTATTGGCCCATATGATGCACCCCTTATTTATATCCACCTACTATTCATATATTTGTCATTGTACCTCACTTCACTTCACCTCTCTCTCCTGCCTTTATATGTCCAAACTTACTGACTTGTAAATTATTCCTTCTGAAGACGTATTATTAAATACGAAAGTATTTAAGGAAATTCCTGTTTCAATTCTTCTTCCGTGGTCTGACACTGGCACATTTTTCATCACGTGTTAATTATATATATATATATATATATATATATTCAAGCCCCATGTACTCTGAACTTTATACATCACATACGGAAATTTACGATAGATGCGTTACTAATGTATATAATCAAAATTACTCTCATAACAATATCTCGAAAACAATAGACCAACCTCAGTTACGTTAACGATAACTGCGCGATATCAAAATATCGCTCTCTTCACCGCGGGGAAAATTTTGTACCGAGTTCGCATCAATACGATAACCTTAGCCTCTTTTAGACGATATCTTCCCACCCAGAGCACTACGATGTCGTGAAGATAACTACAGTGTGCAAGTATATAACATGATAACCAAACACAACTGTAACATGATAACCAACACAACTATGCGCCATCAGACAATATTACTGAAACAGGAAGCGTATCATCCGTAGAGTTCTCCATATACCCGTCAAGACATATAATGATTTTTTTGTACAATAACTTAATTGGAAAGTTTGACCAGACCATACAATGAATAACTTAAGTAATAAACACGATTTCATATTATAATGAAGTTATGTAATCATGATCTAGACATATATATAATATCCTTTTTTTGCACGATCAGTGAAGGACAGAACTAGAAGGATCCATCATTTTCTCACCAACTGGGAGGTGTGAGGGAAGGAGGGAGTGAGGGAGAGGAGGGAGTGAGGGAGTGAGGGAGAGGAGAACTGTGAGAGGCTAAACCGAGTGAGTGAGTGGGTGTGTATCCTGAGGGTAAAATATGGACATGATGCTGACATGGGATGGAGGGAGGGAGGGAGGGGAGATGGGAGGGGAAAGACACGATGCAAGAGAGGCAACATGGAGGAAGGGGAAGGAAGGAGGGGGGAAGGAGGCGGGGGTCCGGGATATATAAGATGGGGAGCTTAGGCCATGCAAGACACACTCACCAGCATCAGTTCATCTCAAGCGGTGGACCGTGTCGCACACCTCGTCACTCTTGCCTTCACCGTTAACAGTGAGTATATAGACCTCTAGCCTATAGTGCCTTGCTATAGCAATAGAGCAAGAGAACGGGCGGGATGTTATAGCACGTCGGAGCTTATAGATGCGTGTGAGACCAGTCAGTGAGATCCGCTATGGGCAGGTTCTTAACATAGGGTGATGTTCTAGTGGTGATATCATCACTAGGACCTACTGCTGACCTGAGGCCAGACTCACGAAAGCACTTACGCAAACACTTACGAACCTGTACATCTTTTCTCAATCTTTGGCGGCTTTGCTTCCAATTATTACAGTTAATGAGCTCCGAAGCACCAGGAGGCTGTTTATAACAATAACAACAGTTGATTGGGAAGTTTTCATGCTTGTAAACTGTTTAATAAATGTAACCAAAGCCGTCAAAGATTGAGGAAAGATGTACACGTTCGTAAGTGCTTGCGTAAGTGCTTTCGCGAATCTGTCCCCTGACCCATCGCTACTCCTGACCATACAAGGATTTCCAATGCACGAATCACGCAAAGCCAGTGACCTCATGCTCTACCCTGACCCCCAGGGCACGGGTATTGCCCACAGCACAGCACCACGGCGCCTCTACAATCACACTTTGACACTCGACAATTAAAAAGATTCTGACGTATGGAATTATTACTAATTCCATCTCTGGTCTCTAAAGGAATCACGCTACTCCCTGCATTCCTTATCCGTGAATCTTACCACAGCTAAGAGCACTCCCTATCACAACTAAGAGCGCCACCCCTACCACAGCCAAGAGCACAGTCCCTAAAATGATCGAGGTGCGATTATCACCCAGAAATAATTTGGTAAATCTATGTTTCAGTGGGAATGTTGAGCGTAGCAATGGTCGTGTTGGTGGTGAGCGTCGGGGTGGAGTCCAGCCCCCTGATGCGCCAGAGTGTGTTCAGCGGACCTCCCATGCACCGGGTGGACATCTGCATCCTGGCCTGCGACGCCTGCTACAAGGTACGCCTTCACTCTCTCTAAATCCATCTCCCGCCAAGTAGTGTGTGTCCCTAAGGTCCTTATAACACCTAAGGTCCCATTTCTAGGATGGGTCTGCCGGCTAGCGTAGTGATAAGGTCACGTGACGGGGCCGGTATGTGTCGCCACTGACTTTTAACATGTGTGGGGGTTGGGTTATTTATTATCTATTTCTATATATAAAGAATTGTCTTTTATCCACGCTCATGAGGCCAGGCGCCTGGGGCATAGCCTTACCCTACTTTAAAGGGTCATTGGTGGTTGTAGGAGGTCGGTCATAAGGGGTCAGGGGTCAGCCTCAGGCCTCTCTTGAAGAGAAGTAGGGGTCGAGCCCTTTTGTAGATGTAATGTTCAGGGCTGACACAATAGAGTTTTATCTTTTGTTCATCAGTTTTACTATTTTACATCTTTTATAGTTATTTTGTATATTGAACCAATCTTCACTTCGTTTCTTCAGGGTGACGCCCTCCTCATGTGTGCCAATTCCTGCCTTAAGGACGAGGGAAGGATGAACTTCGAGTGGAGTGCCACCTGTCCGTTCTTCGACTCCAGCAGGAAATGAAGTCACCAGCCAGTCACTGGCTCACCTTCCCCCCATCTTATGAGGACCCTTATAAACACAGTCCCTCCATCTCTCTACACCTAGCAACGTTCCCTACCTACTATCCCTGACCAAATAAGGGACCCTTCTGATAAACCTTAACAAACCCCAAAGTATATTTTAAGGCCTATATACTCATGAACCTAACTCCATTCAACCTGTAAAATAACTCACCCACAAATGAAATGAAAATGGTGATGTTTGGGTCCGTTCCTTGACTATTTTATCAAGTGTCCAGGAGAGGGCGAAACCTCGCCACATTCATCGCACAAGACATGGTTGGGATAATTGTTCCTATCCCGTTAATGTAAGTTATTCTCTCCGTTCTACCTGTCTGAGACATCCATCTACCCCCCTGAACACCTGTCCACCGTCCCATGACTGATGGGAGCTTGCCCTATATTGTCTCCAACGTCCCTTATTTAGCTAAGGATGTGTGTGTAAACAAACACACGTGTTTGTTTCATGTTTACTCTGTCATGTTTGTGGCTCCGCTCTCGTTTCTTTAACATGTTCCTCGTGCGCTTTACCTCCATTGGTCATACTGTTAAAATAAAAAAATATGTGTATATATAAAATGAGTTTAATTTTTGCCGAATTTCGTGGATGCTTTGAAATATTTTAATTCATGAGTACAGCTTAAGTAATCAGTTTCTCGACTGGAATACTTGGGCTGGACGGTAGAGCGACGGTCTCGCTTCATGCAGGTCGACGTTTAATCCCCGACCGTTCAAGTGGTTGGGCACCATTCCTCTCCCCCCCCGTCCCCTCCCAAATTCTTATCCTGACCCCTTCCCAGTGCTATATAGTCGTAATGCCTTAGCCCTTTCCTCTGACATTTCCCTCTACTGGAATACTGAAGAGCCATAATAAACATATGGTCTTATCCCCTCTTTACAACTCTTCAAAGAAAACATTAATCCAACATTTTGGAGCATTCATTCCCCTCCCCAACGACCAAAATATGGCGTACATAGTGGCTCGCAAAATTGTCACGTTTTCTGTTCGTGGGTCCAGGGTTAGGTTAGGTTCGGGCAGGTTGGTACATCATTTTTGTGACGCTGTGACCACTCTTGAGAGGACGGGGTCAATGTACTCGAGTAACAGCATGTTGATATCTCTCCATTTACGAGTGGTCAAAGTTATCTATTGTGCTCTGCTCTTAGATAACATCACAGTGATCTATTGTGCTCTGCTCTAAGATAACATATCTCGTGATAACGTGATCTATATCTGCTCTGAGATAACATATATATATATCTCACTTTACTGCTATACACAGATAACATCCAGCGAAATATCTTCCTTTAACATTACACTGTTTTCACTACATTTATAAGTACACGAAAGAATACTCTTTCGAAACTTACAATGACAAATTCCTTAAACAAAATATTTAGATAAACACATTATTTTTTAATTATTGTAGATTATCAAAAAAGCTCAAACATGCCATTATAAGACTGAAAGTGTTCCCAAAACATCAAAATATAATAAATACAGAAACAACTCAGTAAACACTAATGATTATATATATATATATATTGTATAATATATATATATATATATATATATATATATATATATATATATATATATATATATATATATATATATATATTGTATTATATCATATAAACAGGAACATAAAGAATAACGCTTGTAAATCGGTACAATTTTTGAAGAAAAAAGATTAGTATAAAAAAAGGCAAAAAATTCGACATATTACTTCAAATTAAAGCACTGAAATATTGACGCAATATTGAGGAAATGTCAGCGTTCACCCACCAGTACTTTGATTGGGTGGTATTGCGACTTTCTCGCTTCGTTGCAGGTTCGATCCCCGACGGTGCAAGTGGTCCAAGCCACCATTCCTCCCCTCCGTCCTATCCCAAGTTGCTATCCTCGTATCCCGTCCCAGTACTTTATATAGTCGGGATGGCTTAGTGCTTTCTCCTGATAATCCGCCTGCACTCGTCACTGTTACATGAGAAGTGGCAGTTAATGACGTCAGAGAATGTGGTTAAGTGTTACAGCGCCTGTCAGTCATTTCCGCGTGACATGTGGTCACGTGATTTGACAGGGCGACGGAGGCGAGGTCACCCTCACCTTCTTAAGTTTAACTTTGTTTAATATGTCCATGGTTCCTCAACCACCTGTATGTCTATGTCGTGACAGCGGTACCGTTGTCATGACACCGTGTGCTTCTGTCATGACACTGTGTGCTCCTGTCATGACACCGTGTGCTCCTGTCATGACACCGTGTGCTCCTGTCATGACACCGTGTACTCCTGTCATGACACCGTGTACTCCTGTCATGACACCGTGTACTCCTGTCATGACACCGTGTGCTCCTGTCATGACACCGTGTGCTCCTGTCATGACACCGTGTGCTCCTGTCATGACACCGTGTGCTCCTGTCATGACACCGTGTGCTCCTGTCATGACACCGTGTGCTCCTGTCATGACACCGTGTGCTCCTGTCATGACACCGTGTGCTCCTGTCATGACACCGTGTGCTCCTGTCATGACACCGTGTGCTCCTGTCATGACACCGTGTGCTCCTGTCATGACACCGTGTGCTCCTGTCATGACACCGTGTGCTCCTGTCATGACACCGTGTGCTCCTGTCATGACACCGTGTGCTCCTGTCATGACACCGTGTGCTCCTGTCATGACACCGTGTGCTCCTGTCATGACACCGTGTGCTCCTGTCATGACACCGTGTGCTCCTGTCATGACACCGTGTACTCCTGTCATGACACCGTGTGCTCCTGTCATGACACCGTGTGCTCCTGTCATGACACCGTGTACTCCTGTCATGACACCGTGTGCTCCTGTCAAGACACCGTGTGCTCCTGTCATGACACCGTGTGCTCCTGTCATGACACCGTGTGCTCCTGTCATGACACCGTGTACTCCTGTCATGACACCGTGTGCTCCTGTCATGACACCGTGTGCTCCTGTCATGACACCGTGTACTCCTGTCATGACACCGTGTGCTCCTGTCATGACACCGTGTGCTCCTGTCATGAAACCGTGTGCTCCTGTCATGACACCGTGTGCTCCTGTCATGACATAGTCTGCTCCTGTCATGACACCATATACCCCTGCCATGACACACACACACACACACACACACACACACACACACACACACACACACACACACACACACACACACACAATGATTTGTGTGTGTGTTCAGATTCCATTAGGAACCTGAGCTACAGAGATATTAGAAAGAACTTTTTTAGTGTCAAGAGTGGTTGACAAATGGAATGCATTAGGCAGTGATGTGGTGGAGGCTGACTCCATACACAGTTTCAAGTGTAGATATGATACAGCCTAGTAGGCTTAGAAATCTGTACACCAGTTGATTGATAGTTGAGAGGCGGGACCAAATAGCCACAGCTCAACCCCCGCAAGCACAACTAGATAAGTACAACTAGGTGTATACACACACACACGCAATACTAAATACAGTATGAGTGTATGTTTTGTTGCTACCCACTTGTCAAACGAACTTCAATAAATAACCCAGTTCTGTACTAAACTAATGTAGGTAGAAATCGCTGTGTTCGTGCAAAGGAACCATATATATACATAAAATAATCTCACGTTGCTTTTCTTGCCCGATGAGTTATGCTCGAGGAAGACAGATATAGAGGAGCTAAGCGACAGGTATATATATATATATATATATATATATATATATATATATATACATTTTGCCACCTGTGTACAGTACTCACACACCAGCCACACATGTGTTGGAGTGTCTGAATACACGCCACTGTGACGGGTATATTAAATTATCTTTCAGGTATATATGATCCAGAGGTTTGTTTGACAGTCTAACTGTTGGTGAATCCGTAGACATCCACCTCCACATTATTTGTGAATTTCAGGAAAAAACACGTTTACTCATGAGTACAAGAATCCCACATTATTTGTGAGAACAGGAATATCCCGCACCAATTATAACAACAGGATTAGATAAGATTCTATTAGGGTAAATTAGCTTAGGTCAGATTAGGCTGAGTTAGGTTAGGGTGCATTACGTTAGGGTAGATTAGGCTAAGTTAGGCTATGATAAATTAGGCTAAGTTAGGTTAGGGTAGATTAGTCTAAGTTAGGTTAGGTTAGATTTGGTTAATTTAGGTTTGTTAAGCATTATAAGGCCGGTTGTGTCACATACAGATTCCGAACATTAGCACCAAGGGGCTCTTCCCTCATACAAATGTATACGAGGACTCATGAATGTTATTCAATAAAGCTCTCACTCATTACGTTACAGTATACACAGAGTTGGTTCTTGGTGAGGAGCGGATGGACATACACACACACAGACACAAATTGGCAGAGTTCCTTTCATCCTAATGCTCCCGTTCACCTAGCAGTAAATAGGTATCTGGGAGTTAGACAGCTGCTACGAGCTGCTTCCTGGAGATGTGTGTGTGTGTGTGTGTGTGTGTGTGTGTGTGTGTGTGTGTGTGTGTGTGTGTGTGTGTGTGTGTGTGTGTGTGTGTGTGTGTGGTAGAGAGAAATATATGTAGTGGACATAATATAGGAAAATAGATCGGTTAGAAAGGCGGGGTCCAAGAGCTCATAGCTCGATTCTGCAGGTAGAAATAGTAAATACACACACTATGTATTGAAATATGATTGGTGCACTCCGTAGACTTGCAATTTATTGACTAAGGCAAAACATCCTCATCAGACCTGAGTGTTTGGACCTATACAGTTTTGACAGCAGAGATGGGGATACCTAGATCTAATTCAACTTTATCTTTGTTGCACGATAATTTGGCTGCAATGTCTGTCTCATAATGCACCCAGAGTCTGTCAGTGCAGACTGCCTATCACATGCCTCTGTATGACTAACCATCCTGTGTGATGGGATTTTTTAGCATCACGTAGCTAGCTTTTTGACACACTGTATTCCCTCCTTCATATAGTCTAGGGCAGCTGCCCAAATGCAGATGTACCTAATGTATTAATAAAAAAACAAATATGTACCTAAATGTGTTAATAATAATAATATACAAACAAAAACAAAATAAATGAACTAAATTTGTTTATCTTTCATTAATCACGGCGGCTTTGTTTACATTTAACAAACAGTTAACGAGCTTGGAAACTTTACAACCCAAAGTTGTTATTGTTATAAACAACTTTGCAGTCCTACGGAACTTATAATAAACTATTTAATAACTGGAAAGAAAGCCGCTCAAGGAAAGATGCACAGGTTTCGTAAATGGTTGGATAAATGCTTCATAAATACTAGGTCAAGGTCACACCAAAAATAGCAGTCATGTTGGTATCCTCATAATGTGCTTGTGGATCCTCATAATGTTCTTGTGGATCCTCATAATGTTCTTGTGGATCCTCATAATGTGCTTGTGGATCCTCATAATGTTCTTGTGGATCCTCATAATGTGCTTGTGGATCCTCATAATGTTCTTGTGGATCCTCATAATGTTCTTGTGGATCCTCATAATGTTCTTGTGGATCCTCATAATGTTCTTGTGGATCCTCATAATGTTCTTGTGGATCCTCATAATGTTCTTGTGGA